ATCAAGGGCTCATGAGATATAAAAAGCATACCGAAGAAACGAGCGTATCTTTGGGAAAAGTGTTTCATATAAAGAATGCTTGGGAGTCAAGAAGGATTCATGTGAGACTGTGATATAGATATATATTTAATATATTGTATGTGATCATGGTTACAGATACATGTTCTGTGCTTTACTTATCAAGAAGTATGATCCACATAGTACATGAAGTATTGGATACAAATTCAGAAGATAAACACAATTGTTCTTAAATGAAAAGCTTACGGGATAGTGCTGACAAATGAACTTCCAAACCTTTCATTTCTATTCCATTCTCTGGGCTGTGTCGCCTGAAGAAGAGTTGAGAGTTATTATTTAGTTCTCCCAAATCCTGGTACTGTATGACAGAAAAAAGAACTTTCGGCAAAAGTTATCCAGATAACTTGTCTCCAAAGGCAAATTCTTCATCGTTTCCCTTCATTTTGTCTATGCTTATGAAGTCTTAGCCCTACGTTTTCCTAGATAGAAAGTTAAATGTTTTTAATCTATTCATTATCACATAGTTGTGGTTATTCCTAACTCTTAAATATTTCGTCTTCCTGCAGGAGAAGACAAAAGGAGGTATGGGGGTATGGTGAGAAAGACAAATATATCAAGTGAGAGAACAAGTAACTTGCAAGAGACTTATTAAACGGCATATAGATGTTGAGGAGTTGATTTGTAGTATCTCTACTAAAAAAAAAAAAAATAGGATGATGATTATTAAACAGTAAAGTGGGGGATAATGTTCCTAAGATTTTGGCCTGCAACTTTATGCTATGAGTTTCCATTCAAAGCCAGAAATGTCTCCTCATTTGGAGAGTTGACCTTTTCAACTCCAGGATGGTTAACTGATGCTGGGGAGACCCTTTCTTTGGATATCTATTGCTCTGTTCTGCCACATGCTCTATTTGAGTGCAAAGCGTGTTTAACATAAGCAGCAGCTGCTAAATCATTAAGAAGTCTTGGGCAAAGCAAGGGTTAATGCACATTTTGTGTAATAGAATAGAGAGTCTAGAAAATCAGAGAAGTCTAATGGCAATTCAGTAAGGATATACTGAGATGCACCAAGACCTCATGTCCAGAACCTGCATAGAGTTGCCTGGCCCTTGGGTTTGGACGCTTGGATGTTGGAAGCTGAGTTCTCCTCTCTACTTTTTGGCACATGCAAGCCAAATGGGGAAAGCAGATCCTCCATATTTGTTTTTTTCTCTAGTCAAGACTCTCTAGGATGTAAAAGTGAAGTTTCTCATCCAGCTGCATGATGAGTCAAAAAATTCTTTCCTGCAAATCTGGAAGATTACAGCAAGAATCATACTGGATTTTCAACAACATTGAGCTGCTCTTAAAAGTGTCTTCATCAGTGGGTTTAATTCATCGGTTCTGAGCACTTAATTCTTTTCCACATTCCTTCTCTCCTTCGTCCCCTTTCTTCTCATGACCCCATTATCTCTAAAACTCTAAATTCCTAGGAAGCAAGAGAAAATCACTGGAGTGTACGTAATGTAACTAGCCTTTTAAATGATTCTCAAATTATCAAATTTTTGAGGAAATTGATAATTCTGCAAAGCCCTGACAAGTAAAACCTATCAGTTTATTAACTGAATTGTTAATGGACAAGTTTTTAGTGAAACTTTTGAACACCTATTGTTGTTTGGGTAATAATTAATAATGCCATCCTCTTAAAATGGTGTATACAGAGAACACATCAATCAAGTGAAATCCATTGCTTGGTAAAAGATACTAAATGATTCCTTTCACCAGGTTCCTGTCTTTATCTACTAAAGCTGAAATCAACTTAAAGCACAATTTATACAGCACAGAATTGGAATACAGGGATACGGGGAGTGAGACACAAAATAGTTCTATACACCTGACTATTGATTTGAAGGCAAAGTTACTGAAATGTCCCCGTAACTGAATGTATTTCAGAAGGGGTCTACCTGGGAGAGAGAAAATGTGTGTGCATACGTGCGTGCGTGTGTGTGCGTGTGTGTGTGTGTGTGTAAGGGGAGGGAAGAGTGCTGTTCACATGAACAAGCACTGCTTTAGCAGATACACATAAAATACAGACCCCTAACTTACTCTAAAGTCAATAGTATGTCTCTTTGTCCTGGTCCAGTTAAGCTCTTAATCTGACTCCAACTCAGATTAAGCAGGCAGAAAAATTTAGGTTCTGGGTCATTTCCTGGGCAAATCTAAGATTTCTCTCAAGAACGAGAAGCATCTACTCCTGTTCCCACTGACCACAATCTGATGCCACTACCTCTGTACACCCTAAACCCACTTACAACTGTGATTACATTTTCACAAGGAGGGAAAATGCAAGCACTGCAGGGCTCATATTAAGTCTCATATTTTCCCAGGCAATTTACTCCAGGGAAAGTAGGGAGGAGGATGAGAGAGTGATAAATAGATTCTTCACATTTTTTTTTTCTTTCCTGGAAAGATCATCCCAGTGTTTCTAATTTCTCACAATGAAGAGAATGTATTTTCTTGGTTACCAAGGAAACTACTAGTAACATGAGTTTTTTGTTTTCCTAAATTTTTTCTTAAAGCTTTCAAATAAATTTTCTAAGCCAATTTTAATGTTTAATGTTTGTTTCCTCGTATGGAACTGGAGTGTTTGTGTTCTTGTAATTTTATCATTTCATATGTTAGAAGACTTTCAAATATATGTGTGTATATATGCATATGGTTAATGTTTTTTGACTGGAAGGCATTCTCTTTGTAGTCTTCATAGCAGTGCCCTTTTGGTGCCCTCTGCCTCCTGAGTTCAGGTTATGAGAAGGTGAAGGCTCTTCTTACCTTCCACTGACAAGTCAACTCACTTACACAGGTGTGCCCATGAGAACAGTCAACTCGAGTCGCCATAATGTCAACCAGCTGGGTGAGGTCTGTAATATCTAGTTAATTCTCTGGGCATTTTCAAATACTTGGATATTTCAAACAATGTGAATAAAATGTTTGAATTTTTAACTGAATTAGAATGTTTCTTAAAAACACTTTGGCATTCAAGAAAAAATAACGCACTTAACATTCCTGAGTTCTTAAAACTTCTAGCTATGTTAGAAAGTAAAGGGCTGGCAAATTTCTCCTGACTTGGGGCAAGGTAGACAGATACTGAGGCTAGTGGGGTCAGGAAGTATGCTCTGGAATTTTTAATCTGAGTTGCTTGTCAACGCTACACAAATGTATGGGATGAGAGCTTCTCCTTCACGTTCACAATGTTGATCTGACTTAGCTATCCTCTGACTGATGAAGGAATTTCTTTGACTGGGCAATACTGACAAATATGAATGAATTCACACCACACTAGCAATTGTTGGCAGTAGAGCCAGTCACTGCAACCCATTTACAGGACATGAAATCGCAAGTATTCAGGAAAGGCATACTGTCCTTTGAACTAACAAAAATAGGGAAAACCCAACAAATACCTTCAGTGTTTACGTAAAGAGTAAAGTGATATGGTTCCCCACTGTCAATAATCTTAGGAAATCGCTGAATGAATGGGCTCTAAATATGTGAAACTTGGAATGTGTGAATGAAAAGGAAAACAAAAGAGGGGAATACAAGACTAAACAATGTATTCTTCTACTTAAGCATTGCAGAATTTTATTAATCCTTTTAAAAATAGTCTTACTTTTGAAGCAACTCAACATCCTCAGCTTGATTATCCCCCATATATGATTTAGTTTTATTCTCTTCGTTACTAAATTATGCAAAGCACTGCCTCTTCAAATCTACTAAAGAGAAAGAAAAAAAAAAAAGCTCTATCAAGACTTATAATAATGAAATACAGAATTAACAGTTTAAACCTGCGAAAAAATACAATTGCGGTATCAATTAGCTGCATATGAGGCATGTTAGGGATATAAATGCGCACTTTGACTATAAATACAATTCACTAATGCTTGAAGCAATATAGTGAGGGAAAATTGGAATTGCTAACAGACCACAGTGTGTTGTAAAATGCAGGCTACTTTGTAAGTCTGTCTCATTCAGAAAGCTTCTGCGTGTAGTCAAATTAATTTTTCAAAAGATAATTTGGTATTTTGAAGATAGTAACCTGTCACTAAAGAAATAGATGGTATTATAGGATATTTAGCCATTTTATGCTTGACATTATTTTTCCCATTTAGGGTACAGCCCTCTTGATATTGAGGTGGGAACCCACTGCCATGGGCAGCAGGAGTTTTATTTTACATAACTGAAGTTAGAAATTTGGGGATTTTATACTCACAAGGATTCAAAATAATTTGAAAATGGAAACACTGGGCCTAGATCCTGGATACAGATATATTTATAAAATAGTCCATTGTTAAAATTAGGTCATTGACTTAATTGATTTAATTTGGTAATCTTATGAGGCATAAGGGAGGTGTAATCAATATAAATTGTGTTCAGATTGATTTTGTATAAGCACAGCATATCTGTGGTCATATCTTCTGTTTATAACCTCTAGTTGATGAGAAGGTGCTCTGAGGGGAACATCAATACTTTAAATGATGTATTTCATTAAAAAATCTGATCTTTTACCAACCAAGTCCAAAAATAATTGGAGATGATTTCCACGCCTCCCCACCCCCCCGCCAACCCCGGTCAGAATTAAACAAGCTTCCTTAAAATTGGTCTTTCCACAACCATTTACTTTTTCAGACCAATTGTGTGGAGCTCCGTAAGCCCAATCGGCCCATATTCAATATCATATTCTTGTCTTATATTTCCTTGATTTATGATTCTGACAACAACAAGCTTAATTGAGAATGGGGCAGGAAGGCACTGGGGAAGGAAAGCATTCAGACAATAGGTAACCATTTAAAACAAAGTGTGCAAAATGAGTAAGGAATGCTTCCTGGGATTTTCCCTATTTGAGTATCTTTGAGCAAAGCTGCTACGGGAAGATATGGAGGTGACTTGAAAATACAGGGTTATTACTGAAGAGTAACACACAGGATAATTTTCAGAGCTTGACTACATTGCTACTTGATCAACTCCTGATAAAACTCAGAACGCACAAAACGAGGCAGCGAATCCTTTTCCATTAGGGCGTGGATTCTTTTCTGGGCCACTTCAAAGCTGCTCAGAGAAGGCTGCACCAGGTTCTTCAGGGTGATGTCCTTCGTGAAGTGGTCAATATTCACCTGTAGGTCAAGATACAGCGTCACTAGTCAGCCCAGGGTACAGGGTTTGCAGAGAGTGGGGAGGGTCAACATTTCTCATCATGAAACAAGAGGGCAATAGAGTCATAAGAAGTAAGAAATATGATTTCTATTTCATAAGCAATGGGGTAAGCAGCGTTAGGGGTACTGATGTTCCGATATATGCACAACTCAGATTAAGATTCAATCCATGTTTAGACACCCACATATCAGATCCTCATCTATTCTGTGTATATTTCATTTAATCTTTGCAACAACCCTGAGAATGATTCCTCCCTTTTACAGAAAGGTTAAGTGGTTTCTTCAGTATCACAAGGTTAATAACTTTATTTGAATCCAGAAAATCAGAATTTGAACCCAGGTGTTCTGATGCTTGATCCCATAATCTACCCACCACAGCATTTGACTTCATGCCTAGCAGAGGGAGCAAAGAGGGAGTAGGAAATTGTGACTACGGACCTGGACCTTTTGGATGGATGCAGAAGAGCAAGGACACAGGATACGGTGGTTCTGACTGAATAATGATAAAAATGCCAGCGAATGTTTATTGGGTGCTTAGTCTCTGCCAGGCACTGTGCTGAGTACTTTACACGCATGAGTTCATTTACTCTTACAACTCTATGAGGTAGATACTGTCATCCATACTTTACAGTTGATGCAATGAAGGCAGAAGATTCAGATCCCTGGCAATGTGGAGCCTGAGTTTTTAACCAGTAGACTGTACTGTTGGAAGGCGTTGCGTCTTATTTGTCCTGAGTGTAGGGCTGCTATATTGCACAATACTAAGGGGACACCATTTACAGAAGGGTCTGTGTGAATGGGGCCCCTGGAGTTGTGCAGAGTATAGCCTTCATGGGCTTGTCGGAGTATGATTTAAGAGGAATCTTTGTATATCACATCATATTTTTTAATGACTCTTAAGGGGTCTGACTGCAAAAGACAAAGAAACAAAACCCACTGTCAGCCAATAGTTCTAAAGTGTACACTGGAAAATGTTTCTGGTTTCTGCTGGGTTGCTAGTGGTCCCTGGTACTGAGAAGTGCTATTTCATCTCAGATAATTATGCAGCAGCTGCAGGTCAGAATGAGGGACAAAGGCATGGCTGGGGAGTACCAGGCCAGAACAGACTGCATGATGAAGCTATGCTGGAAAGCCCAGGATGAAGTGAGTTGAGGTAGGAAAGCATTTTCATAGATCAAAGAAGCTGGTGTACTTTACACAGACCAGTGGAAGACCAAATTTCCAGAACAGAGAGCAGCCTGAGATGCAGCCCAATGCCTGCCTTCACATGTGAAGACTGAGGCCCCACAGGGTCAAGTGACATGCCCATAAACAACTATATTTGGCAGCAGTGAGGCTGTAACACAGATTTCTCAATTCTCAGCCTATTATTCTTCTCCCTATAGGAAAGTGATTCTTCTTCCTTCTCTTATATTAAATATATACTGAGCTAGGTAGGTAGCCTTACTTAAAATGGTTAAAGTTCTAAAAAATTATCAAAGTAGCTCCTAACCTTACTTTTTTAAAAACTAAGCAATACATTTAAAATCCTCTAACACACAGTACATCAGCAAATAATAGCTATTTTACTTATTATTTTTATGTGGATTGGCCTCCCCAACTCCAATGAGTCTTTCTCATGTATATATTTATCTGTTTACCAGGGCAGGAAAATACTACACCCACTCCTCACTTATCAACTATCTCATTATCTGACATTTCACCTTTACAATAATAGTAAAAAATCTACTATCTGACTAGTTTGCACACTAATTACACATGTTTGGCAGTAATGAATGCCAAGCTGCAAGGCCCAGTTATGCAATGTTGTAATTTGACAGTTATATAATGATGTAATCACCCTCCATTTTCACATAATGCCAATTTTTGCGTAATGACCTGGTCTTTGGAAACTAACCACGTCGATAAATGAGGAGTGGATGTATTTTGTTATTTTTTAATATGATCAAATTATAATTTTCAATGCACAAATTATCTATTTATTGAAATACACAAGGCCATTTATTCTTTTTTTTTTTTTTTAAACTTATCTCCAATTCTCACTACTGTATCTCTGGGTAATTTCCTGATATTAAAGAGCCAAAGAGAATGTTCAGAGAAAACATAGGGTACTATTTGGTTGAGTAAATTTGATATATATAGATCAATCTGCTACTTATCAAAATAAAATAGTAAATTCTTAGGTCAAAATATAAGACTTGGGGAATTAAAAAAATAGCAGCTACAATTTACTAAATGTGCCACAGGTACACATACATATATGTGAGATGTTTATAGTTAAGGAAACTGAGGATTAGAGAGCCTTAGATAGAGGCTTGCTCTAAATCATACATCTAGGAAGGTCTGGAGCTGGGATAACCACATCTGCTCATCTCACAAATATTTATTGAATGCTTACTATGTGCCAGAAGTAGGGTTCACATTTTCTCTGATGGCCAGCTTAGGCTCATTAGTCTACATTACCCTGGGTTGCCTGTATTTGTGGGTGATATATATGTTATTGTACACCTACATGAACAGAGATTATTTAGAATAGAGGCCAATGCTATCTAAATTAGAGCCCATACGTCCTTGCAATTGAGAGCCACCATTTGTTTATTCTAGCAACTCAGTCAGCCAGAGTTTTATTTATTTTTCAACTCTATTTTAATGTCTCATATTTTCATGATAACTCCAGATGTTTTAATAAAGAACCTTGAAGCAATGTTTTTCTAGAGCTCAGAGCAATGAACACTCTATCATTTGCAGATGTTTCAACAAATCCCAGGATTCTGTGAAAAGAATGAGGTTGGTAGGAAAGTAGACTGGAAACAAGTAGTCCAGTTGAACAGGGGAAGTTTGTGTCTAATTTAACACTAAATTAATCTCCTTGTTAACATTCACAAATAGAGAGAGATTCCATGCAGACAGAAGGAAAGAATGGCCCAGCACAAATGTCATCTGAAATATGGAAATGCAAACATATGTGCATGGGGTGAGAGATTGAAGAGTGGAAGGGGAGATCTGTCAAATTTATGTCAAAATTAATGCCCACAGCAAAATTAAACCCAGTTCCCTAATAGGGCCCTTTCATTTTCCCACCTTTGCCCACAGTTCTCTATACTCTCATGGTCCTAGCCTCTACCACTTGTGTCATGGAGGGAGCAGATCTGTTTATATTAAGACATATAATGTGTCTGTCCACCCAAACGTATTTACTTCTAAATAAAAAGCTCAGTGAAGAATAATTCATAACCAAAGGAAAAAATAGCAAATGGTGGGACTCCAAGACTCTATAGCATGTGTAGGGGAGACAGGGTTTTCCCATCTCAAATTGTCTTAAGTAGACTGTGGCCTATCCCTAGGGCTTACTTAGATCACCTCTGTGCTTGACTCCAAACCCTGATGAAACATTTTAATGTCCAGATTGGATTGAAGGGTATAATGTGGAATTAGAGTGGTCTGGCCAAATCACGATTGTCTTGCTGTGACCATACTGAATTCCACAGAAGGATTTTTAATTAGGTTTCATAAATAGCAAAAATAAAAGCAGATATGTTAATGATTCTTCAAAATCAACACACATCTCGTCTGTAGTGCTCAATTAATGGCATATTGGCTTTCAACATTTCTAGCACCATTGTAATGTTTTGATTTTAATAAGTAGATGCCCTTTGGTCCCAATTAGAGTATAAAATAGTTAATGGCAAAGGCATGGGGTGGAGATGGGATGATGGGGAAGGTAGAGGTAAAAAAAGAGAGAAGATTGAAGGAAAGAAAATGGAACGGAAGGGAAGAGAAAAAGGAAAAGAGAAACGACAAGTGATACAAACACACATTAAGTATTAACTATTTCAGACACTGAGATACATGTTTTCACATGTACTGTGTGATTTCATCCTCACAATACCCTACAAAATAGTATTTATTATCCCTATTTTTACAGTTTAAAAAAAGAAAAATTAGATAACTGGGACTTCCTAAAAATTAAATACTTATGCTCATCAAAATACTTTATCAAAAGAGTCAAAAGACAACCTACAGACTGGGGAAAAATCTTTGGGAATGACATATCTGATAGGGGTCTAATCTCTAAAATATACAGAAAATTTCAACATCTCAAAAGCAAAAACACAAACAATCAAATTTAAAAATGGGCAAAGGACATGAAGAGAATATTCACCAAAGAGGACATTCAAGTGGCCAACAAACACATGAAAAGATGCTGGTGACCATTAGACATTAAAGAGATGCAAATCAAAACTAAAATGAGATACCATCTCATCCCCACAAAAATGGCACTAATTTAAAAAACAACAACAAATGCTGACAGATGAGGTTGTGGGGAGACTGGAGCCCTTATAAACTGCTCAAGGGATTGTAAAAGGGTACCACCACTGTGGAAAATAGTATGGCACTTCGTTAAAAAGCTACAAATAGAAATACTCTGTTGTTCTTGTTTATTGTTATGTGCCCTCCAGTTGGTTCCAACTCACAGCGACCCTACGTACAACAGAACAAAGCACTGCCTGGTCCTGCACCACCCTCACAATCGTTAAGTTTGAGCCCATTGTTGCAGCCACTGTGTCAATCCATCTCCTGGAAGGTCTTCCTCTTACCAAACATGATGTCCTTCTCCAGGGACTGGTCCCTCCTGATAACATGTCCAAAGTATGTGAGACGAAGTTTCACCATCCTTGTTTCTAAGGAGCATTCTGACTGTAGTTCTTCCCGGACAGATTTGTTCGTTCTTCTGGAAGGTCATGGTATGTATGTTTGGTATTCTTCGCCAACACCATAATTAAAAGGCGTCAATTCTTCTTCAGTTTTCCTTATTCATTGTCCAGCTTTTGTATGCGTATGAGATGATTGAAAATACCATGGCTTGGGTCAGTGCCCCTTAGTCCTCAAAATGACAGCTTAGCTTTTTAACACTTTAAAGAATTCTCTTGCAGCAGATTTGCCCAATATAATACATCATT